ATGGGGTAAGTTTCTAAAGAAACTTTGGTGCAGTATGGATGGGGACACGATAATTTGGTTTTAACAACTGAGTTGATAAATAAATGTAAATTGGCCATGTTAGAGTTATGTATGCTACTGTTGATGTTGTTGTTTTTGTTTAAGTTCATTTAGTAGATTGGGAAATTTTGGGTTGTTCGTTGGTGGTTATAAACTTGAGGTAGGTGATTGCATTTGGTGCAGGGGTTTCAATCAATTCTCAATTAAAACAGCTGCTAATGGTGTAGAAGGTGGCTGTGCTCTAAGATGAGACCAAAACACAAGAGCTAGCAAAACAGGCTAAACAGACTAAACATGCAAGACAGGCTAAACAGGCTTAACATGCTAAATACGAGCTAAACAGGGGCTAAATAAGCTAAAGAGAGGTTGTAGAGGGGTGTTACAGGTGGCAGTAGACAGCTGCACACCAGCTTTTATTGAAGCCCTTTTTTTATGTATATCTTGTTCTATGTAGTTAACCTTGTTTAAATATTTAACATCTAAAACTTTTCTCTCTTGCTGTGGTCAAATAATCGTAGCAGAGGAAGTTAGAATTTAGTCCATCCTTACAGTGAACAAATAAAATGAATTTACAACTCATAAATTTTCTCCTTTTGTCGTGAGCCATTATGTTGGTCCTTTAGATGCCTGATGAGAGTGTTCCCTCTTAAGGTCTTTCATGGAGAGCTTTAAACTCAGGGACTGTTAAAAAGAGTATGTTAAATTTTGTTATATTGGTTGTTTGTATACCATGTCAGTCTTTTCCATCTGTCCTCAATCATCCCAGTTCCCTTTTGTTTTATTTTCAATTTGTCAGTTTGGTGTTTCTCTATAGCAACTTCAATTGAGTGTCAAAAGTATTAAGAAATTCATCTTTATTCCAATCCAAAAGAAGGTTACAACAGTGACTAAAGAACGAACAATGAAACAGCGAGGTTAATAGTTAGATGATGAATAGGAGAGCACATGTAATTCCCTAGAGAGTGTCACATGGTCTTATCCAACGAATCACATTACATGATTATTATTTCTCCAACAAAAAGCAACTGCTTTAGATTTGTTTTTCTTTGCTCAGAAAAATTTGTCCACATTATCAGCTAATTTGATTCAAGACTAAACTCAATTGTGACTTGGTTAGCTGCATTTTCCGGCATTCCTGGCAGTTTGCAAAATACAAAAAATTTATTTTGAGTCCTTACTGGCTCCTTTTGATTTTGACTGTGGTAACTTTGGTTTGCATTTTATGATGCTCAATTGAAATGCCCCCACCCTCCCAAAGTAATACTTAATTTTATCTTTACATTGAAAATTTTGAAAATCCCACCACAGAACAACCAAGCTCCTTTGCCATGTGAATAAGTAGTGTGACTGTGGCTTAAAAAGCCAAGTATATAATCACAAGTGATTTCTGACCTTGGTTCTTTCAAAGCATATTAGATCAATTAATCAAGTAAATCATATCCCTAATTCCAGTAAGAATCTTAAATCATTATACCACCAATTCAATCAATGAGTAAATTGGAGTTTATACTCAGGAAACAAAATACTATAACAGCTAGTCTCTGCATTGTCTACACTTGCAGGTAAGTTGTCATACTAAAATATGCTGTAAATATTGAACAAAAAAAACTGGTCTGACAGTTGCCTTACCGCTGGTATCAGGGAATCCTCCTGCATTAAGTTCTTGGGTAAATTTCTAAGCCTTTGGTTTGTCTCAAAGAGCCTGTTGAATGACAGTTATGTAACAATTACCAAAAGACACCAAACAACAAGGAAACTAACCACTAAAACTAGCTTTTATCCAAAGGCAATAATCACAGTACTGAACACTTATGAAAAAAACTCAGGCCTTGCTTTCACTACTGCTCAAGTTGTGTTCATCACTGCCAAGATTCCTTTCTTATAAATTTCTTAATCCACAGTTCACTTTTTATCTTGGAACCTGCTTGCAGGTTTTGCCTTAACAAACAAAAAAAAAAACATTTTGGGTTACAAATAAATTTAGTTTTAGGAAAAAACATTTTCTCTCTGGGTTGTTCTCAGTTTCTTTGTCTCCTCATTGGGACACAAATGAAAACTGAGAATCTTCTCCTAAAATTTTACCACCCTAGGTTAAAACTCAACTCTACAACATAGAGATCTGCATATAATTTAAATGCTGTACATTTAGTTCAAACATTTAGTTCAAACATTTAGTTCAAACATTTAGTTCAAACATTTAGTTCAAACACTGAAAATCCATATTCAGTGTTTGAATAACAGAACAACAGGGTTACTTTGACTTACCCTGGACAACGCTGAAGATCTTTTGGAGTAAGTGCTGATTTCATCATTGCCAGAGTAGTTCTAAAGAGCACTTTTATTCCTAAAGGAAAGAATGAAATTAGAAA